CTTGTGTAGAAATAAGACTTCAAACTGATTTCATAGACAATAATGTTATTGAAAATAATTGTTCAAAACGATCATTTTCAGATGAATTTAAACTCTTATCTATTTGACATGATGAGCGTATTAATTCAAATAATTTCATCATTTGACGGATTATTTCCAAAAGCACCTAATTGTGTACAATTAACTTTTTTATCATATATCCTTCAAATCTAAAACTTTGGAACTCCTTTCTTCTGTGAAAACTGAAATATCAACTATAGGAAATTATCTTCTGCCGAAAAAAATGATGATTGTGAATATTTTTGCAATAATTCGAAAATGGTAATAAAATAGTTCAATTTTCCAATTACTTGAATCATTTGTGCTACTTTCAAAACATTTTTTCATTTGTTGAGATTTGATAAATCTTCAAATAAAAACAAAGAATTCAAAAAAAAAACATAATAAATATCTTTTTTTCCCTTTACTTGAAAAGATTAAATTATTAAGATCATGTAATATAAAGGGATGTTTAAAAATATTATAAATAAACGAAATTCATCATATTGATTATGAAAAAATTGGTCGAATTGTTGTTGGTCTTAAAACATTTGAAAGAACATAAATATTTTCTAAACATCCAACCTATATAAAAGACAAAAATAACAAACAATTTGTATTCGAGTTGACGCTTGAACGTGTAATGAATGATGAATTTTATATATCCATTGACAAAGTAAAAATGAATTGTGATCAACAAACCTTAAAATCAAAAAGTAGCTAATAACTAACTTAATGCAATAAAATCGACTTATGCATTCAAATTCGAAAAAAAAACTACCTAGTTAATATCTCTACAAAATGCATACTTAGCAAAAGTCGAAGCAATTGCTTGACGAACACGTATATCAGGGTACTGTTGTTTTAATTGTTGTTCAAGATAAGTTAATATTCGAAAATCAATATCATCCATAAGTTGAACTAGAGCAAACTATTTTATATACATACAAAAAAAAAATTATTATAATCATAAATTTCTTTTATCTACTTTAGCAAGAGTACAGGAACTTGTAGTATGTTGAATAGAATCTTCTAATAATTTAATTCCTATGATTGTAAATGCATGACTATTAATTAATAAAAAAAGGTAATAATGTTCGTAAAGCATTTAGTGAAACATGTATAACACGTGCATTATTATCATTAAGACATATAACCTTGAACTGTCTTGTGAATCAGTTGATACAAGTGAATATTGATTAATAAAATAATTAATAAATGAATTTGATAATGATGATAATATTAAAAGATGAATTGTTGTTTGAATTAATGTAACAAGTAAATTTGCACATGCACCACGTAAATGTAGATCACCGTGTTCACATAAAGATAAAAGATATGTAATATCTTAAAGAAAAGAAAAAAAAAGATACCTTGATGTTCGATAAATTTTAATGTATTACAAGTCATATAGAGATGTGAATTTCATTTTTTCCTTTAGAGAATTCAATTTTAATTACAAAATTATATCTAATCAGAAATCTTCAAAGACTAAAGAAAAACTCCTTAAAGGATACAATTGATTTCATATCCCGAACGTCAGCTTAGAACTATTTTTTGAGGTAATTGTGTGATTGTATAATTTCAATCTCTGATGTATTGATGCAGGCTTTGAGCTTCAATAAAATGTTCTAGTCTTTTGTTGGTTTCAAAAAAATTAAAAGTAGGATTAGAACTAGAGCTGCTGAATCAATATTCAGAAATCTCCGTTCTTGAATTTTCAGATTCCAATATATATATATGTTTCAACAATTTAATAGTGAAATTGTCATATCTATCAGATAACGTTCACTAAAACTTTGAGACCTTAACCAATTGAAGCCACGTCAACTAAACTCTGCCACAATCACCTTCACCTAGGCCCTCCTACTGTTACGATATTAGAAATAATTTTGGATTATAAAAAAAATCTATTTCACTGAACTGAAACTTTACAAAAAGAAGCCTCAAACAAGCATTAAACATACTTTCAATAAGGTAATCAAATCGACCAAATTGTTGATAAATACGATAGACATATTAGTATAGCACATTTAACACTAATACATGATTCATCATCACTTTTTATCGTACCATCCATATTGAGTATATATCTAATTGGAAAATAATATAGTTGATTAACAAGTTTGGCAGCTGATGTTCGTTTTTCATTATTAATCATTGATGTTGAATCGAATTCATCATTCATTTCAATAAATCAACGTTGATATGTTGAATAAGCTATTGTTTTAAAAAAAAAAACAAATGAAAAAAAAATTCTTGTTTTTTTTCTCAATATTTACCTGTTTTTAAGACTTCACCAACACGAATTTCTTCTATAGATTCAATTTGGGTTGAAATTAATAATTGATCAAAATCAAATAAATTTGAATACCGAAGTAATTGAATAAATTTTTTTATTAAATCAAGATAAACAATTATTAAACGTGTACTAGCATTTTGATTTTAATGTTCAAGTAATTGATCTATTAAAATAAAAGACAATTATAATGAATTGAAATTATTATTTTGAAAGAAAACTTACCAATTGCATTTGTCATTAGAAAACGTGCTATAACCATGAGATAACATATTTGCTGAATAGGCCATGAGAAGTTCCTAAGAATAATTTAGTAATTGATTATATATTTCAAAAGAAAATTATTTATTATTGGTATTAGGAAAAATAACAGAAAAATTCGTTTTCACTCGATTTCATACTTCAACTATAACGATAGCCAGTGAACTCCTATGACTAAACCATTCTTAAGTTGCATGAAACTCTACGCTCGATTACTTCCGAGGGCAGATCGCTTCAAATGATGGACAGTTTCTCAGTCCGTATTTCGTCAACTAGTATCAGACTACCTATTCTATATTATCTGAACAGCGTCCTCTTTTGCTTGAAGTTTTACCAAAACACGGGTTTAGAAGTTATCGATTAACTAGAACAATCCTTGTCCGTGAAATGATTTATGGACTTTTCTATATTTCAATTCAATCGCATGATAGTTCTCTGATTACTTCTTTAGAAAACTTGTTCTAGATGACAAAGATTTTCTTTTTTACTTACTTTGATTTCTTTCTCATTAATTGATCAACCAAGAATATGAAAAATAAGTTCATAATATTCTGATAAAATGGTTGAATCGTTTTCGGATGTATTACATTTGCTAATTTGGCAAACCGTCATAGAACATCTAATCGAAATTTAAAAAAAAAAATCCTTACTATAAATTTAAGTCAAACAATAAAAATAACCTTTTAAACCTCTTAATTCAACATTTGGATTACATTTTATAATTCGATGTAATTCAACTTGAATTCTTGTTAAATTTGCTTATTTTAAATTCTATTTTGCAATCTATAAAAAATTGTACAAAAAAATTATTTTCTAATACTTTAACAAGTTGATTAAGATTTTCATCAGCAGTCAATCGTACATCATAATTATTTTCATCACATGTTGTAAATAATGTTTCCACACTAGCTTTAATTAATTTAAAACAATTTTCATTGTTACCTCTAGATAAGAAAAATATTCGAGAAGAGATGAAAAACACATGAAAAACAAAAATATTAAATTATTTACTTGATTATTAATGTTTCTGATGTTGTTGCTGAAAGTAATTTTAAAAATTCAAGTGATTTATTTAGTTTATCCATGTTGTTTAATTTATATTCAATTCATTTATTTTAAAGCCAAATAAATAAATGACTAAGTTTAAACATTATTTGATAGAATGAATGAATAGTCGACTGAAAAAGCCTAACATCGATTGAATATTCATAAACACTATTGACATTTCTGTTCTTTCTATTGATGGATGGCGTTAGATTACATCTTTATAAAATAAGACTGTATAAAGTGAAAGCCTCATTATCAACCAAAATTCTTATAACTAAAATATAGTCTTTGCTAGACGTTCAATAGGGATATGTTTCGATCTTGTAAATACTAAGAGTGAGTCTAAAGACGTTATTTTGCACTGGTGTGGGTTGGGTTGTTTGTAAGCAAAGTTTAATCCTATACACAAATATCTACCCACACTCACACCCTGTTGGCATCAATAGAAGCCATCATCGACTAATAAGGCATCATCATCCATCGTTCTTGTCGAATGAAGCCCAAGGCAACCGAAAGAAATAACAATAAGAAAGAACAAAAAATTGTTTATATCCTATTTAGAAATTCTTTTTTATTCTTTTCTATCGTAAATAAGGGTGTGGGTGTGGGTGTGGGGTGTGGGGTGTGGGGTGTGGGT